CTCTGATTTCTTTTCTTATTTTGGAGGGAGGTTTCTACTGAGATACTCTCAGACTCAATGTGCTTCCGTAGCTGTGTCCAGCTTACTAACAAGACTACCAAAGATATTGTTTATTTCTCTTTCGGTGTTACTCATCTCTAGCATTTCTACCTATTTGCTTACATTGTCCGCCTGTCCCTTACGCTGTTTATTTTATCCATCAGAGGACCACGTAAATCATAGCTGTTTTATTTATTCATTTAGCAGTGCCAGGAATCAAGCCCAGTGCCTCATACATGCTAAACATGCCTTTTGGCTCTGAGATGCACTCTCGGAACCCTAATCATAGTTGTTTTAAATTCCTAGTTTGATCATTTCAACATCCTTATCCTATCTGAATCTGAGTCTGATGTTTCTGATTCTTCAAACTATATATTCTTTTTATTTTTACTGCAGGATAACTTGTATATTGAGCTGAGCTATTTTACTGTAGGATAACTTGTATATTGAGCTGAGCTATATTGCTATAGGATAACTTGTATATTGAGCTGAGCTATATTGCTGGCTTTTTTAAAATAGGAGACTGTGATTGTACTGGGTAAAAGGTGTGTGGTGGTGGTAAGGTAAAGAGGGACATTCCCCAGCCCCATGGTTAGGTCTCAGTCCTTCAGTGAAGCTGGATCTCTGGACTGTGAAGCTCACCTGTACTTCTGGATTTCCCACTCCGCCCGCAGGTGGGACAGGGCGGCTGCTGTGGTGAGGGGGGTTGGAGGTTCCACTGCCCTGCGTGGAAGGTTGCAGCCTGAGGCACAGGTGGGTTGTGTCCTCCTATGGTTTAGACTCTGCTTAAGTAGCTGGTCCTGAAGATGGACCTTGTGAAGAGAAACACAAACTGATGCTTTTCAGAATGGTTTATTTTCTCTTCCCCTGCAGGAACCATGAGACAGTTTTTCTCTGATATTCACTGCGGGGTCCTGAGAGAGCTGGCCGAAGCTGCTATGCTGTGACTGGTTCCCTTGGCGATTGCGTGGCTCACCCTTGCCCTCATGGCCCCTGCAGCTGTTTCACATGTCCCAACACCTCACTGGCTCCAGCTTCCTGCTGTCTTGTGACTGTGTTCACCTCCAGTTTTGAAGGCAAGAGCTTGTCCCATAACACACTTATCTTATGGATCCAAGAAGAGTTGATGATTTTTCAGCTTGTTTAGCTTTTCACTTATTAACCCCAAGTGCTGACTTCTTATGTACTGGACTGGAAACTGGAAGCCTCATGAGTAAGTTTTAGAGTACATTATTGTTGGGCACACTCAGTTCTACCACAAGGAAACACCCTTTGTTGATTTTGGACTTAAGTCTGATTCAGCCAAAGAAATTCTTGAGATGTGTGTACAGGAAGTCCACAGCAATACATTACAACAAGCCTTGTGTTTTTTCCCCATGGGACATATTAATTCTTTCCAGACAAAAATATGCAGGACAATAATAGATGATCATATTGGCAATGGGACTTAACGTGTCTGGCACAGACCAGGGAGGCTATGCAGACAATTCACAGATGGACATTGTTTTTCAAAAGTTCGTACAAATATTTGCCAAACATTTATCACATGCTACCAACTGGAATTCCAAATTTCAACAAGCAGGGCTCCTAGTTACTAGAGAGAGGCAGATGTATAAATAAACAAATGCAATCCTAGGTAATGATTGCCATACATAAATGCAGTCAAAACAAGGAGCAAGGAATCTCTTTTTTCCAAGTGTTTGCAGGCCTCAACTAGAGTGACGGTAATCAGAGACTGAGTTTGAGGCAGTCAAACTCCCTTAACTGTCTTGTAGATATACAGCTATGAACTTATGAACAGCCTTCAGTATCCCTGTTTCCATCACCGAGTCAACTGATGCTTCCTCTAGACCTGTTCCAGGTTGGAGTCATCTCGTGAGAGCTGGAGCCAGCTGAGCTGGATTACACTTGCCACGCTTTATGAGCCACCTGGTGATCTGCTGTAGGGGTGGGAGGAAGCTGTTTACAGTGATTTCCCCCACTAGTCTTTTGTGGGATAGATCCCAGAAGAAGAGCTCCCTGTGTGAAATTAGTCCAGAAAATTGTAGTGTGGGAATCCTACACAGGGATAGACCTCTTCCTTGCCTCCGTCAGTTGCATTCTTGAAATCTGAAGAGTTACTCCCAGCCCTTGGATATTTGTAAGCATCAAAGGTGTGAGTGCATCCATGGTTATTTAGATGGTAGGAGATAACACATTCACCTTCATCGTGGAGTGTGGCTGGCCAATGATGGCCCATAGGGGATGACGGCATCGACATATAGGGTGACCAGTAGCTACCCCTTAAACACATCTTGTTGAAGAGTTTGGAAAATAAGAGAGGAGTAAAAGATAAATAACTGTGACAGTTAATTTTATATATCAACGTGGGTAAGTTATTATATCCAGATATTATTATTGTTGTTGTTGATTTTTTTGAGGCAGGGTTTCACTATATGGTTCAGGCTGGCCTTGAACTCACAGTGATTCTCCTGCCTCAGCCTCTTGAGTATTAGGGTTATAGGAGTGTGCCACTATGCCTGGATCCTATGTACATTTTAATACGGAAGAGTTTGTAAAATTTTATAAAGAGCTAGTAGTATTGGGAAACTCATGACATAACTTTTATTTATGTTTGTTTGTTTGTTTTTGGAGGAAGAATCAGGTAAAAAAAATGGGCACTGTCAGAGTAATTACATAAAGTCCTCAGATCTTTTGTTGTAATCTCTGCACTATTTCTGTTAGAATGCACTTACATCTGTGGTCTGCTATCCTCAGGTCTGGAATGGAATCTGACATCCCATGAGGTTTTGAGAATCACCTACAGGAGACCTGCTTTCCTGCTGGTTCCAGGAGACTCTCCCACACATGTACAAGTCCTATCATCTCGGACAAGGGGGTTCCTGTTGATGATGTTGCCCGGAGAGAAACGGATAGCACAGGGGCACCCGCAAGCCAAGGCAGAGCCTGTATTCTGGGATCAAATGCCAAACACTATGTGAAGTATGTAAAAGCTTTCTGACATCCGGATATAAGTGAGGGATGCTGGAGGCATGATAGATAATCAAGTGCAGCTTCTTCAGGAGAGTTTCATTGCTAGTTCCAGAAAATAATGAAATGCAAAGACGTCCTTTCATTGTAGGCAAAACACATTCTTTAGAGCTGGACTTTCCATGAGATGCCTAGTGAGGCTCAATCCATATACTGTAAAGTTTAAAATAGACTCCAACATCCTAGCAACTGTTGATTCCTACTTTTCTTGCTTCTACCTTCCCTAACATCCAAGAAGAGCTGCCTGACCCAACATAGGCAATATAGCCAGGACTTTGGCTTCAAATCTCAGCTCATCTGCATGAGTATCTGTACTTTTCTATAACCATAACTATTGTTTTAGGTCCCCATTCATATAGGAGGTAGAAATTTAATTGCAACCAATTCAAGGTAAATCATCTTGACTCTTCACTAAATTTATAGTCCTAAGTCATTTGGAGAGCCCCATCTGATCCCTGACGTCACCTAGGTATTCTCTGAAATTATCCCTCGGGATAGATGCAGCAAAATTTGCTCAAATTCATTTCAGATGAAGTGCACTGGGGAAAGTAATTCCCAAATATTTTTTAGAGGTAACCCAACAAAGATAAACCACATTTATAGTTCAGTACAATAGAGGCTCCAATGAATGTGGGAACGGGACATGCCATCTCCAGCACTGGCATGCCAGGGAGATGGATAGGATGAACTGAGCTCTCACATGCGTATGTCTGAGGAAATATTTTTGGTTCTATAACCACTTGCTTTTTCCAAGATGTTGGTATTCTTTGGAGGTTGTGGGGTTGGTGGGGGTTATGGCAGGCTGCTTTTCACCACAGGTCATTTTTCTTTCATCTTTATAATTATCAGCTACGTGGTGACAGCGATAGTGATGACGAGGTCCTTGATTGTCACTCTGTACAGCTTGTTCTGCAGACATCTCTATTCCTTTCAGGCCTGTTGACTCTCTCTGGTACATCTGTGCCAATTTGGCCTCCTAGGAACTGTTCTCCTCCCTCTAGGACGTACCGTCTTTTGTAGGGTAGTGCTGCTTCCTTGTGGTTCTATCCAGGAAATAGATCCATTTGATTTTGAGTGCTACACCTATCCAAGGCAAATAAGGGCTGACTCTCCTACTATTGTGAACTTTCCCCTTTAACCTTTGTCCTACCATCAGAGGGCAGGCATGACTTGCTTGTAGTATTGCAGTGTTCTATTATCTGTGATTATTATCATCACAGAATGGAGTGAAGAGCAAGTTAGAGAGGGGAAGGGAAAACTGTTGGGAAAAATAGCATTTCAAAGTTATTATTCTGTACATTAGGTAAGTGAAGCAGTGTTTCTACAGAGAACTTTCTACAGAGAAGGAAAAAAGGAAAAAATGAAAAAGAAAGAAGAGATGGATTGGGGATATTATTTTGTTAGAAAACCAGTGACCATTTCTACCCATTTTAATCTAACTCCCAATTGTATTACTTGATGAAAAATTTCAGGAATGAGATATGTATCTATTTTGCTACTTCATATCTCAACATCATATGTGCCCATTTCTAGGCAAATGAATAAATTTTATAATTCAATAAATTGTAGGCATTAAATTTTTATTAACTAAATGAATGATAAAAAGCTATGAACATAACTAGATTTGTGAACGCAGCACAGGGTTATCTGGCCAGGAAGAGCTTCATAAATTTTTGTTGTTTGGAAGATTAAGATTAAAACTTAGTTTGATAGATTTTCCCCCTATAAAATGGTATTTTATAGACCTGGGGATTTGAAAACATATGTCAGGGAATGCATTTCATTAAAAGGTCTTATCCAAGCTTAGCTATTGGATGTTGGCACAGGGAAAAAATAAACAAACAAACACACACACATGAGAGGCGTGTGAAGAGTATTGGACTTTAACTTCTTAATTGGAGGTTGCTGCAGCAGACAGCTGACCTGCAAAATGGATCATTGAGAGCAAAGGCTGTAAGTTATGATGTTTGCCTTTTAAAAAGTCAACTCTGCTCCACATATCATACTTTCCAACTTTCAACAAGACGCTACAACATGGATTCATGGATTCTGCCTTGGTCTCTCTTCTTTGGAGCCCTTCTTGTGGTTTCTGGCTTGGTAAGGAAATTATGTACAGAAAACAATTAGAAATATTGGGAGCAGTTGACATCAGTCAGTAATGAACAATTGTTTGTTTATTTTAAAAAAATATTTCAAAATGTTAATCTCAAGTGTTTCCTCTTCTGGCAGGAGGGTTTTCTGGGTATGGGGTAGTACGAAGCAACCCCACCAGAAAAAGAATACAAGACAGTGACATGCAGTTATGTTTTTCCTTCAGTTTCATTGTGGCATAACAAGTTTTCTTTTGTCAGAGTGGCAAGTGGGAACTTTGAAAATCATTCTATTTGTAGTGCCAAATGAAACATAGATTGCTACCAGGAAAACTTGATACATGAATGAAAAGTCTGACAAATATTCAAGGCACAGTCAATACTTAGCAAGTTTTATAGCCCAGAATTTCTCTCTTGTGTCTTTGCCAGTTTAGACTAATCTCTCTACAATGATAGATAGCTTGTCACACAAAGTGATGCAAGGTTTTAAATGCAGTTTCCTGTGGCTGGGGGAGAAAACCTTTAGTTTTGATTTAAAATAACAGTTATTATATTGAGCTGATAGTCTATGAATAAAAGTGAGAGTTCTGTAAATAAAAGATACCTTTTGATGTATGTAAAACTAATTAAGAACAAATACTGGGTAACTATGACATTCTTCTGCGAGTGTGTGCTTACGTGTGATTGTAGTATAGAACAATCAACACTAACCTTTTTTAAGATTAAAAAAATAGGGCTAACCATCTAACCAGTTCATTCTCATATCTTGTTAAATGCTCAAACAATTTTGTGTAGGCCTATAGGCTGTATTTTAATGTAATTGTACTTTGCACTTGTGCTACTATTACATCTTACAGTGAGATTTTACAGTATATCATATAACCCTCATGACACTCATAGAAGTTAGATATGCATCCTTTTTTACAGTCTGAGTACCTGCAAAGTGAACTAAATTACTGTTCGTTGGTGACACCAGTAATGTAACTCACATCTCGCTACTAGGTCCATCAACTTTTTTTACTAAATTACAATAAGAAAATTCCCAGTTTGACTCAGTTTTTTCCCAGTACATTTAGTCTGAATTTCACCGGTCATTTGTAGACAATCTATTATAAAAAAATAATACTTTTTAAAAGTATATAATATGCCTATTATTTTTTCCATAGATATTTGGTATTGTCTTTGAAAGCAGAACACTGGGAGAGTCATGAAAATGAAATATGACTAGGAGGTCTTGAACATAATTTTATTTAAAAGGAATTTTACAAATGACAATAATATTTCCATGTTAGAAATACATTTTGTCTTTCTGACATTGTTCTGTAAGTCTGTAGAGGATTATGTTTAAGCAAACACTAAACTGAGCGTTAGAGTCTTATGTTCTTCCTTCTTTTTTTCTTGTTTTTTTTTTTATTAGTACATGTTTGTAGTACCTAGCGATCACATTCCTTGTGGTGTTCTTCATTCTTTTCAATTTCTGAAGTTGGTTTCTCGTTTCTTTTATCTTGAAATTTATTTAACAGGTAGTTTTAGTTCCTATATGAAGCAAGAATATGATGTGAAAACATCATTTTAGGCTCTCACTTTGTTGTTTTGGATATAAACCAGAAATTAATATGTAATAGTAATGAACAAATGACAACAAGATATAGTTATAAATTAGAACCAAGAAGACAATTATATCATGGACATCATAATAATATCTTTTTTATATGTTTGTTTTCCAGCCAACTCCAGAAAATTTTGGTGAGTCTATTTTTGAGTTTTGTTCTAGATTAACAGTAGAAGATGGTTATATGGCTGATGGAGCAACAGAAGGACTTGGAATATACTGAACCCTGAGCATAACACATAATTACATACTCAGCACTACCATATAAAAATTGCATTGAAGTTTGGTCTAATGCTGGTCTTTTGACTTATCAGAGGACATTTTATTGTCCATGTTCTAGGGTCCAAGGCTCAGAAGAAAAATAGGTGGTGACATAAGGAAGGCCAATTACAATGACAGACATATAGACCTTCTGTAAAGGCTTGCTATTATTGTTTTGACTATTTTGCGTAAAGTCAGATGAGCCTGATAGTATAGTCTGCTCCTGTTCAGTTACACACTTAGGAATTTAGCCACATTATGTATCCTCTTTTGCAATTTAAAACAGCAATTCAACATTAGCTTAGGAATTATGCTCAAGAATCCAAGGTAAATTATTACCAAGGGACTTGCACATGTAAGTAAATAGGGCTGTATTGGCTAATTTTTAACATTTGCTTACTATTTAATAAGTCATATAATCTGATCTTTCAAGATAAGTTTATAATACACAAAGTGACCAGTTTTACATTTCTGAAGTCATGTGACAATTCAAGTGCTGTGGATTGGATAGACTTTATATGCAAGAGATCTTTAATCCTTAGCCTGGTCCATGGGAGGTCCTCAATCTATTAATCAACTATGCTGACTCAGGATCAAGAGAAGCAAAAGAAACTCAGTTACTTATAATTATGTAATTGAGAAAGATTTTTATCCTTTACTAAATGTAATGTTCAATGTGTTTTTCTTTGTTATTTTAGTCAAAGATGTAGATGGTGGAACTGATCGGGATATATTCGATATCAATGAAGGTTTGTGGATTTTTTGTGAACATCATCTGTTATGTGGATAATTTGAATCCAATGTACTGACATGAATTTTGTCTTCGCACTGCTCTTAGATTTGGGCCTGGATCTTTTTCAGGGAGACATCAGACTTAATGGGGTGAGTTACAACAGTCCTAGGATGAATCTTCTATCAGTCGCTGAAAGCTAAATACAGAGTAGATGAGAATGATTGGGTAACCTAATTCAAGCCCTATCACTTTTTGCTGGATTTTTCTCACCGCTTTCTAATTTGTCTATTTCAATTGTTCTCTCACAGCCTTTTCTACCTTGTACCCGTTCCAACCTCTGATGGCAAAGTCATCTTTTAAATAAGCAGTGATACCATGTTATTTCTGATTTGAACCTGGTAGACATAGTCATCGCTGCGGGCACAGAATCACAGTGCTTCATTTATTCACTGTGTATGAGTCCTCCGAGAAACCTCTATAATACTGTCACCATCTTTTGTTATTCAGGTTTCTGTGTCACGAAAGTCACCATCACCCATGACACGTGTCTTGGTCTTCTTGATCAGACTGAAACAGTATGAAACATTTCATTTAAAAATAGAACTTCCAGTCAATCTAGTTGAATCAAAATTCAGCTGACTTTTTAAACATCTTCAATGAATCATTCAATGAATTTTTTTGTCATAAAAAATAGATTTTGTGACTTCTCCCACTCAACTAAAGGTAGCTTTGCCAAAAAGGACCTTCCATACTGGTTAATAAAGAGTTTTTATCTATCATGACACATAGGTGAACATATATGTGGATTTACATGTCGATTTAGGGGTTTGTGTTTATTTATGCCCACCAGAGTCAAAACCCTTTAAAAACTATCCCTTGGGTGATGATGCGTGAAGTAGGGTGTTTGCTCAGCACATCATTACAAAATGCTTCTGTACTGGGGAATCCATAAAAGTAAGAGCAGGCACTTTGACACGGTGCGCCATAACCTGAAGTCAGCCACCCTCCCACTCGGAGATTACCCAGTAGACCTCAGGTCGCCCCTGCCGCCAATCTGGAGTCACTTCCGGATGTCGCAAGCCCCGCCCCCGCGCCTCAGGCCCCGCCCCGCAGGAAGCAGGGCTTGGAGCTGGCTTAGGCCTGGGCCTGCTCTTTCTTCCTCTGCGTTCTCTCCTCAGTGCCAGGGTTTTAAACGTCATCTCTGTGCCAGCAACTTCAAATGCAGAGCTCTAGTCCCGCTCTTCCTCAGTGCTCCATGCTGGTCCTTCTGAGGACCACTTCTGCTGCATCTGACATCCCCAGCGCGTCTCAGATCTGAGCTGCCCTCTGTCCTTCCCCACCCTGACCTTCCTCTCCAGCCTCCCTTCCTGTAAAGTCATCAGTCCCTAACCTGACTGCACTAAGTAAATGAAAACTTTAAGATCTTCGTCCTTTCTTCCCCTTTCCCCATTCCCTGGCCACTCCACCTTCCAGTTCTGTCATTTCTACCTGCAACATCCACCCCAGGGTGTCTGCTTTTCTCCATTAGCCTATCTCCAGCCCCGTGATTTCCTGCTGGGTTTTTCTAACAGCTTTCTAACTTGTCTTCCTATTTCAAATATTGCTGTCCCACTTCCCTCCCCCTTCCCCTTGGACAGGATTTCACTATGTAGCCCAGGTTGGCCTTGAACTCTTAGCAATCTTCCTGCCTCAGCCTCCTCCTGAGTGCTGGGATTACAGGCGTGCACCATCACGCATAGCCTGTCCTCTCATTTCTACTTTGTACCGGTCTCCATCTCGTATAGCAAAGCTGTTTTTTAAACAGGCATCATTTCATTCTTGGCTTGAACCTCTTTAACAGCTTCCTGTAGCATTCGGTTATGCTGTCAAGGCCTTGCACTATTAAATTCTAGGCTCCTTCTCCTCTCTGAAATCATCTCTTTTCTCTCTTTACTCATTAACTACTTGTCTCTATCTCCTTCCTTTTTTTTTTTTTTTTTTGGTAAATATTTCCTCCACTACGCTTAAATTCATTTTGATTAACTTTGTTTTCTTTCTCCTCTAGATATAAGCAACATAAAGATAAATCTTGGTACATTTATTGCTGAGGGAAACTTATTCCCTAAAATAACATTCATGTGTTACCTGGATGGAGACAGTAACGAAATATTATTAATTTTCTATTTTAAAATTCAAAATTGCGCTATTTGGAAAACTGGCTAAGCTCATGTGTGAGTTTTCTGAGATTGTAAGATGCAGATTTTTATGTTTTGTTACCATTTCTTTCTTGTACTTTTTGTACTAGGACTCAAAGTCAGGACCTCATGCTTACCAGGCAGTCACTGTGCTGCTGAGCTCTACCCTTGGCTTATTTCTTGTATATTTTAATTTTTAGGAAAAAAATCTACTAATATTTGTAGGTCAGTTTTTCCTAGTCATTTCTTGGCATTATTTCTTCTTCAATTTTATCAATGAATTACTGATTGAAATTAGTCTCTTTTTTTTGGTACTGGGGATCGATCTCATGACATCATGCTTACCAGGCAAGTACTTGAGCCTGAGAGCTAAGTCCCTGGCCTGCTTAGTTACTTCTTCCTAGAAGCTATCATATTATGATAAAAGCAGAGATATAGGCAATCTATTTGGGCTGGCTAAGAGAGCTCTAAGCTTCGTTCATTTCCAGATGAACTATTGATTGTTTTTGCCTGATTAGTTTAAGTAACCCTTTCATATTTACTTTTGACAGGCACAAGGTAGAAATTCCATCATTGGAGCAGAATACAGATGGCCTCATACCATTCCATATGTTTTAGAAGACAGCTTGGGTTAGTACACATTGGGGAGTACCCATAACTAATGTACCTTCCTCATAGAATATGGGGACATATCGTTCACATGGGTAGATGTTTGATGTTTAAGATTTTGTTTGTTTCTTCTTTTGTGTGGTTATGTATATTTATTTTTAAATAGAAAACAAAATGAACAACCAAAATACCTGAAATGACTCTGCCAGAACATTTGCCATTTGTTGTTTTTCAGGATCAGTTCAATGAACATTTATTCAGGGACTACTTTGTATTGGATGCTCAGGGCATCAAAGAATAGGGAGCTGCTCCTTATTTGAAAGCACTAGTATGTCCAGATTTTACAAATGTGTAAAACCGGCTGGGGATTTAGCTCAGCGGCATAAGCACCTGCCTTGCAAGCAGGCGGTCGTGAGTTTGATCCCCGGCACTGATAAAAATGAAAAAGACAAATGTGTAAAATCATACAGTAATCAACCAAATAAATCTTTTGAGACTGGAACTGTTTACCAACTCTTTTTTTTTTATCGGTACCAGGGATTGAACTCACAACTGTACGCTTGCAAGGCAGGCACTTATGCTGCTGAGCTAAATCCCCAGCCCTTGTTTACCAACGCTTTATTTTGCCAATCAGAATCTTAATAATCTTCTATATTATTTTTCATAAAAGAAATATTATTAGTGTTACATTGCTAAAAACTCTGAAGAAGCTAAACCAAAATTAAGTATAGATCTCTGCATAAAAGAAATTTAAGATCGGGATTGTAGTTCAGTGGCACGGCGCCTGCCTGGCAAATGTGAGGTCCTGAGTTTGATTCCTGGTTCAAAAAGAAAAAAAAATTTTAATTGTGATGAAAAACTCTAAACATCGCCCTCATTTCATCTGTGGACTGGAGACTATGACGTCATGGATTCATATCAGTTTGGAAAGTGCTATTTGAGGAAAGTCTCTTTAGAAATAAAAGGTTTCCTTAAGGAACAAGCATTTCAGTGGAAATTCAGATAAGCCAAAATGGAATTTTAATGGACTAGAATAAATATTATGATTAGTGATGTAGTCACTGAGCTAGGAAAGTGAGCAGGAGCGGGGTTTCACTCAGTGCAGGTGTCAGCGTTTGCACTGTGCTCCAGTGACCCCAGGCAGCAGGGCCGCAGGGGAGGTTGTGCTGGTTCTTCACCTCTTGATGCCCAAGATGGGGACAAGTAGGGCTCCTATCAGATTTGCATTCTCTGTGTTTTGTTACCTGTGCCTGCTGTTCATTCTCCTGCTCAGTAAGGGCTCTTGCCCAGATAAGGTATCTTTTTCTAGTCGGCACAAAGGTGCAGTGTGGCACGGCATGGCCACTGATAGCAAGAGAAGGGCAGTGCAGAAGGATGGACCACAGTGTGCAAAGGCGCGTAGAAGAGATGAACTCCTACCTGGAACTGAGATTGGGGGCGGGGAGCTAATGACGCCATGCAGCAGAGAGGAATGGACTGGGAGGAATAGCGAGGTACACATACTCAAGGACAAACAGGGAACCTCGATATAGTTGTGGATGGGTGCTCTTTGCAGATCAGTGTTGTGGATAGGCACGCACTCCAGTGAATGTGCAGTGTAGGTGATTTATGCACGGACCCTGGGCCCTGGACCTAGTGTGCACAGGTGGTAATGTGGAGCCACCAAAAAGCTCATTGTGGAAGTGAGTTATAAGTGCATTTAATAATTTGTAATGGTTTCTCTGATTAGTATATAGAAAGGTTTTTTTTTTTTTTTTTTTGTCTTTTTCGTTTTTATCGGTACCAGGGATCGAACTCACAACTGCCTGCTTGCAAGGCAGGCGCTTATACCGCTGAGCTAAATCCCCAGCCCTAGAAAAGTTTGTTATTAGGAGGGCACAAAGAGAGCAGGGCATCCAGTTAGAAGACAACCAAAGAGGACTGGGAATGAAGCTCAGTGATAGAGAGCTTGGCTAGCATAGGCAAGGCCCTAGATTTCATCCTAAGTATAAAAACAAGAAAAGACTATTGAAAAAACTCAGGAAAGGAATGAAGAGACTGTGACCCAAAACTCTTTTTTGGGGAGGAGAGGATTTATAAACAAGAGTGGATAAATCTGGGTGAGAGCTAGGATGTAATCACTAGAAGTAAAATTGATTTGAGTTATTGTCAAGGGAGGTTGGCCAGAAGCATAGACGCAACCCAAGTATGGTAGGTGAAGCCAGGGCTGGAATAATTAACCACGAGAAGTTACCAATGTGAGGAGCTCTTGGAATATGAGGAAGGAAAGATATTTATTATTGACTTTTGGAATCAAGGGAAACATGAAAGATTTAAAAGAATTATTTTTGGCTTAGTCTTTTGATTAAAACATTTTTAAATTCTACTCTGCCATAAAGAAAGTACTTGAGGCATTGTAGGCACCTTGAGACCATAATGTTAAGTGGAATAAATCAGCTTAAATATCACATGGTTTCTCTCCTATGAGAAACCCAAGATATTAATAACCCAATAAAAGATAGAAAGTGGAGAGACTTTTTCAAATGGGAAGGGGAATCAAGAGATGGAGGGAGAGGGGCGACAAAGAAGGAAGGAGATGAGCAAAGAAGTAAGAGGTATTATGTACCAGTGCCACCCGCTCACAGGTACTAGGCACTGCAAACACGGACTCATTAAAACATTTAAAAGTACTTTTGTTTTTAAATTTTTAAATATTTCTTTAAAAAATACCTGTGTTTTACGAAAGGTAAGTGAGCTTTGAGTAGACCTCTTAAGGTATTTTTTCCATGTGTTTTTGCAAAGCTATCCTGGTTTCATTGACCTGCTTTTGTTTTAATTAACAGACTCTCTTACTTTATGGATTGACTGATTTCAGTACTAAGGACTAAACCCTCAGCTTGGTCCTGGCTAGGCAAGCATTCTACCAGTGAACGAGCTGACCTATTTTTAAGCAATATTATAACCAGCATAGTGAATGCCTTATGCAAAGGAACTATTTTTCATTTTGCAAATATGAGGATTAGTCTGGTCTCTGGTAGTTAATAAATATTTAAAAATAAATTAATAAAACTTATAGGACTAGAATACAATGGTTTAAAAACAGCCTAGATCTATCATCCCAAATGAGCACATTTTTACAGTTATATTTTCGTTCTTTGTCCAGCTACTGTATTTTTCCATAGTATAGTTTTTACAACAGAGTTTAAAGATTTTTGTTGTTGTCGTTTTGATTTTTTTGGTACTAGGCCTCAAACTCAGGACCTTGTGCTTGCTAGACAGGTGCCATACCACTGAGCTATGTCCCTGACTCCCCAATCTTTACAATAGAATTAAACTTTAAATTTCTGTAGATTACTTTTAAAATTATATAATCTTGCATTTTTCTTATTCAGAATACCTCTGTGTAGTACTGTGGAACTAAATTAATTGTCTGTGTTCAAAGTAGGTCAAGTATTTCCTCACATTTCAGAAACATTGATCATGGTCTAAAGACTCAGACTAAAGAAATTACCAAGGGAATCCACTTTCCCATGAAGCAAAAATGAATACTTGTGATGGGCTTCCTGGAAAGGATTTCTGGATGGTCCATAGTTCTCAGATTCTGGTTGGTTCACCTTGAAATTCTGCCAGCAAGGCCTCAGATTCAGCTCCAGGCATTGTCTAGGAGCTGGCTACAGCTCCTTGCCTGAGTGCAAGGCTTAGGGGAAGAAAGGGAGAAGGGAGGAAAGGCTGGAGGTAAAGTGAGTAGCGATGAGCATGGGGGGGAAGGGATAGGGACCCAAAGTACCTAGTAAAGGGGAGATCACCCTGCACAGCTTCTTGCTGAGATCCTAGGATCTTGGGGGACTTTCCACATCCCTTAGGATTCCTGTCGTGACTGGAGGTGGGGCTTTGCTGCATGTGTGTTGCACAATTAATTAAGGCCTGTGGTCGCAAAGCCACGTGGTAAGTGAACATCTTGGAGGCCTCTACTAATAAGAATACTTTCACATGTGTTACCTGAGTTGATTCCCAGAACAAGTCAACCTGAGATGGGAATTCTCTTTACCGAGCTTTGATAAACGGCCCAGGTTACCATGCCCCATTTGCATTCTGTTGTCTGGTGATGTGGTGACTGGTATCATCCTGTCCTATGTTAAGGAGGTATTAGATCTGAAATAGTGTTACAAATTTGATAGTTACAGCCTAGAACTTTCAAAACAATTGGAATATTTGGCAACAAAGAGTTAACTAGGTGTGTGACAGGCATTAATGCAGGCATTAAAATGGTGAAAACAGTACTTAATGATGGAGAATGGTTTTAATGACATATTACTTAGTAAAAACAGTTTATAAAATAGTGTAAGGACTGTGACTTCATTTGTATAAATGGAATATCTATGAATGTGTGTACTCCTAAGTGAAAAGCTTGGTAAGCTTGATTGAATATTCTTCAGTACTAAGATTTTAAATGTCCTTTTGTTTATGTGCCTTTTCTAGCTGTACACAGAATGTACATTATTATTGTGGTATTATAACAGGTTGAACTCTGAGTGGTCCTGATGACCCACAGATTTGGGGACCTTAGATTTGGGGAATCTAGTTTTCAGTCCTGAAAGACAGAGGCATTCTGTGTCCTTTGCCACAAATGTCCACACAATGGGCCCTTCTCCGGGTCAGGGCATGAACACTTGACTTGGAACTTCACTTTACTTTCTATCCTCACGACATCACCACTGATTTTACTCCCTCACTGAACTGATAAGCTTACAACTATAAAGATTAATTAAAGAGACAAAGGTTTTGGGATCAAAAGTGACATAGATATAGGGGAGAAATGTGTGTGCCTCCATAGTCCAAGTAAGTGTTCCTCCTCTGCCCTGTAGGCTCCACCCTGGCAGGCCTCTGTCCTTCACTTCTTTGGTCTTTGATCTCATCAGTGTCTCTCCCTGTGCATCATATAGCTCCTTCTTCTAGCTCTCTTGTAAGTCTTTTTCTTTTAAAAATATAGAGAAATACAGTTTGCTTCCACCTCTGCCTGCTTTGAGGTCTATCTCTGTCCAACTGTTAGCATCATTGTTGTCTCCAAAGTGATGATTTTTAATTTCATTTTGGTCCTGGGCTCAGTTGCAAAGCTCACAAATGCTCTCCCTAAAAAAAATATACTTTTCAGATACAGATAGATATATTTTCTTGGCATGCCATTTCGTGGTATTTGTGGCCCTCCCATTTCAGCATCCTCAAATTAAAAGCTCTGCTGTGAGGCTTTAAATATATATAGGAGCTTCTCAGATGAAGCATACGAGTGTGATTACTCACTCTGATTGCCATGACCCACCATATATATTTTATGAGGTAAGGAAATGTCCTTATTGTTTAGTGACATGCTGCTACTGGACTTCAGAGAAATAGGAAGAAAAAGAAGGGACGGGAGGAATAATCCAGGGCTTCACATCCTGTCCCCTGACAGCACTGCATACTGAACCCCAGAGCTTTCACTCATTCCTAGCCCTTTTTCCTTTTTTATTTGGAGACAAAATGGTGTGGCCCAAATGTGCAATCTGCCTGCCTCAGCCTGTAAGAGTGCTGGGAATACGTGCACGTACCACCACACCTGGCTTCAAATACTTGTAGAGACAATTAGTATGGGGTAGTAAATTTTATACAACTATATTAAACATTCATGAAGGGACTAACTCAGGAGCAGCAATACTATTCATGTCCTACACTGATGGTGAATTGGCCAGTGGTGATTTTATATATTTACTCTTTATATGTGTTTGCGGTGAATTGGCCAGTGGTGATTTTATATATTTACTCTTTATATGTGTTTGCGGTGAATTGGCCAGTGGTGATTTTATATATTTACTCTTTATATGTGTTTGCTCTTTTATCTTAGAAATAAACGCCAAAGGAGTTATCCTCAATGCATTTGAACGGTATCGCCTAAAAACGTGCATTGACTTCAAGCCTTGGGATGGAGAAGCTAACTACATATCAGTGATCAAGGACAGCGGGTAAGTGGAAGCATGTCTCGGTGACTTTCGCGTCACTCAGACACAATGCCCAACTCCCCCGTAGGAGAGGAGAGAGGGTTTATTTTGGCGCACTTTTTCCACCCGTGCTTAGTGGAAAGGCAGAAATGGCACGCTGGAAGGTCTCCGTGGAGATGTTGTGGCAGTCAGGAAGCTCTGGGGTTCTAGGCAGGAGCTAGGGACCCTTCCAGCAGAGCCCCAGAGAGGCCCCCCCGCGTCCTGTCTCCTAGCAGCGCGCTGGGCCGTGGGTGTAGTGAGCGCGATCCAATCACCTTCCCAAAGCCCACTGTGAACAGGAGGATTTCGAGGACCTAAACCACGACAAGGGATGAGTCCTCTTCCTCCTTCTCTTCTCCTCCTTTTCCTCCTTCTTCTCCCTCTTCTTCGTTTTCGTGTTTTTAAAAGCAGTCTCAATATGTAGTTCAGGTTGGTCTTGAACTCACTGTGTAGTGCAGAACTTGCAGTGATCCTCCTGCCTCAGCCTCTCAAGTGCTAGGATTACAGGTGTGCGCCCCCCCCCCCCCGCTATTTGTTCTGCTTCTGTGTGTGTGTGTGTGTGTGTGTGTGTGTGTGTGTGTGTGTGTGTGAAGGGGTTTTGAACTTAGAGCCTTCACATTAAGCTACAGTCTCCAGTGTTCTCTCACTTTTAGGAGTCAGGATCTCAGTAACTTGCTAAGTTACCTAGACTGGGCTTGACCTTGCCACCCTCTTGCCTCAGCCTCCCAGGGTGCTAGGCTTATGGGGCAGAGTTAGTCTTCTGGGTTCTCAAGAGACTGCTGTGTCAGTGACATTATATCCCAGCAACTGCCCAAGGCCCTGGCTTTCTTCAGGATGGGGCCACAGCTTCTTTTCTCTTTGTTGCACAGTAAGGCAGCTAGATATAGATTCTCTTACCCAAAAAATACTTTCATAGATACAAGGAGACTTCCGATGTTAAATCAGAGGAGTGGGGCTGTATGCCACTTGTCTCACAGCTTGTACATTTCGGCTCATGTGTAGTTTTTATTTTTCCCTTCGAAGCTGTGAGAGAAGCAAGCAATGTCCAGGTACAAGAGGGAAGGACCTAGGTGAGCTCTGGAGTGGAGGAGGCAGCGAGGGCGTTGCTCTGTGAGCTCAGCGTGCACCCCTGACACACCTCTTCTCTTTTCTGTAAACCTCCACAAGCTGCTGGTCTTACGTGGGAAACAGGCGCACGGGCAGGCAAGAGCTCTCCATCGGCGCGAGCTGTGACAGAATAGCCACAGTACAGCACGAGTTTCTCCACGCGCTGGGGTTCTGGCACGAGCAGTCGCGTTCTGATCGGGATGACTATGTCACGATAGTTTGGGACAGAATCCTGACAGGTACAGTTTTCTTGGTTTTAAAAAAATTATTTGTAGTTTAAAATGCTGAGTTTCTAACCACTTGTCCCTGCTTGTTATTTGCATTAATTGTTAATAGTTGAACAATTCTCATGTTTTGATGTTTTGCTTCATTAATCCTCTAACTCATCATAAATTAGAGCCTCTTAAAGTTGTTGGGGTGCCAGCTATTGTACTTTTGAGCTTCTCATAATCTGAGAATTTAGTGTTTCCCAAAATATGCTGCCCCACACACATCACGGATTTCTACAGGGAAAACATCTATGGTCAAATTAAGAAATCCTAGGTTAAAGCAAATCAAACTTATAATTAGTTATGTTACTGCATAGCTGCAAAAAGATTTCTAGTGTAAGCGAAGTGTTGTCTTAATGTATGATTCCAGCCTTTAGAAATCTCAGTCTTAGTTGTGGTAGAAACTTGTCACATTTATAAGATTTGGAGAGCAGAAGCACACCTTACTATGCCCCTAAAATCATCTGATCTCAAGTTGTAATCATTTGCCCATTAGTAAAATGCTAAGTGATCAGGCATTTTCTCTGAATGTATACATTTAGTTTTTAAAAATGAATATGTGTAATTGATAAATCATACATATTTATGTATGTAGTCTACAAAATGGTGTTTTGACTTATATGCATAGTGTGGAATGATTAAAAGTAATTAGCATATCTTTCACCTCACTACATTTTGGGGGTGAGACATTTGAAATTTTCTCATAGTAATTTTGAAATATGTAATATGTTATTATTAACTGTAGTCTCCATGATGTGAGTCTGTTCACATATATTTCAGTGACCTAGTAACCCCTGCCTGACTACGGTGATCCTTTCTAATGGCTCTTGTCTATTATCATCCCCAGGTTGCACCTCATCAGCCTTTCCAGAGTCTCTTAGTTTCATCTCCATCTGCTGTGAATGCCCTCAAACTTTCTTTATCAATGGTCCCTGAGCCTGAATGTTTCTTCACCACTTTTTAGGATTTGCTTTCTATCAGCAGTTTCTAGAGCTCTAGACCAAATGCTCATATTCCAAATCTGGCCTGTAATGAAGTCTGAAATATGTCTGGTGGGACTGCTGGAATCATGATTTTAGCATGAATATTATAGCCAAAGACAAGAACATATGAAACATTTGAAATACAGTAGATCAATTAGCAAAATTAGCTGTAGTTTATTATGTTTTCCTTTTGCAAGCTATCAGTGTGTAGAGTAAGAGGAGCTGAATTTTATGAACATCAATTAAAGATTTTTTATATCATTTAGGCAGAGAGCACAATTTTAACATCTACGATGACAAACAATCAGATTCCCTGAATGTTCCTTATGATTACAATTCTGTGATGCACTACAGTAAAACTGCATTCCAAAATGGAACACAGCCAACAATTGTAACAAGAATCTCCGACTTCGAGGATGTGATTGGCCAACGAATGGATTTCAGTGATTATGATCTCTTAAAGTTGAACCGACTGTACAACTGCAGTACGTGACAGGTTCTTTGAAATGACTTGTATTTCACCCTGCCATGTTGGAAAAAATGATGTCTGTGCTGTTTTGGGTTTTCTGAAGTTATGGAAATTTGATTTTTAGGGAAAACAAAATAAGCAGGACCTAGACTCCAATTTGTGACTTGAATACAGCATTTTTCTTCTCAGAAGGTCTGGCCTTTTGGTCCTAAAACAAAATTAGAGACTTGCAGGAATATGATCCAAGCAGTTTTGTGGATTGTCGTAAATCAAATATAGACCAGTTTAATACTGCAACCTTTTTCAGCTAGATATAGCTGAAAGATACAGAGTTACAATATAAATGGGATCAAATAATCAGGGTTGTGGCTTAATTATCTGAATAACAGGGAGGGTATGGATTCACGTTTCTGCAAATGTATTAATTAGAAGAAAAAAATCACTTGCTGCAGGCAGCTTATTCACATCCACAGAACTAAGCACTCTTGATAGATCTTTTGCAGAAAAAGAGGGGTCTGCAGTCATCAGCTTCCAGAGCTAATGAAGTGTCCCATTTAATGCCAACCTTGTGTTTCTCAGACTTGTGAGATAAACTCAGATTTATTACTTAGGTTATCATGTTGTATAAGTGTTAATAATTGTTTTTTTTACTCTTGTAGCTTCTTCCTTGAGTTTTATGGACTCATGCAATTTTGAACTGGAAAATATATGTGGTATGACCCAAAGTTCAGGAGATAGTGTTGACTGGCAACAGGTTTCCCAGGCTCCTGGGGGCCCAGAGAATGATCATTCCAACATGGGACAGTGCCAGGGTAAGAGGAGGGAGAACCTTCCGCATATTTTAATCACTGGTCTAACCTTTGCCTTTGCTACTATAGACTTAGATTTGATCGCTCACTTCTTTCAGTCATTAATGATTTTCTTTTAGGGCTAAGCCTTGTGCATTATAAGGATGCAATTAATCTTTTTTGCTTTTACTCACTAAGAATATTTTCCTGGGACTCAGACATGTGTTTTGTGAGGACTCTATCAGCATGTGCTCAGAGCCCAAGAGGACTGTGCTCCTAACAGGACTCCTGTCAGGAATAGTAGCGGTGTTTTCAAGCAGTACAAAAAACTCCTTTTTAAAAAAATTTTAAAGATAATAAAATCCAACAAAACAAAACAGAACCAAGACAATCAAAACAAAGTGGCAAAATTGGTACAGAACTTCAAAGCAGGATACTAGGAAAACAACAGTGGCTACTGTAGTGTATCTTGTTATCATCACAGTAGTTATCTATTCTGTCAGGTATGGCAAAATTAAACCAAAACAAATCAGAGTAAAACCAATCAAAACAGAACCCTGAATAAGGCAAAAAAATTAATCAGAACAAAACAGTGAGAACAATATTGAATTTCAAAGACAGATGGAAGGAAATCATCCATATTTGCTGTACTGCATACTGTCATTTCCCAACAGATGCTCAGACCACTGGCCCCAGGCCTGCAAAATCAACCAGACCATACAAGCATTTAGTTGCTTTTGTACCTCAGTTGCTATCAACTCAGCCTGTCCTCCAGACCAGCTCATTGCTTACAGAAGGTGGGGGGTACGTGTGTTTGATTCTCAGCCGACGCACTGGTAGGCTCATGGGAGCTGCTATCTGACTTTTCTCTTCCTGGGCCTTAACAGAAAGGCTGGCTAGTTGGCTTCTTGGTGGGCTCCTCCCAGTCCCAGCGTGGCGGACTCCTGGGACAACAGATTTTCTAATGAACAGCACTGGGTTTTAGGTTACTTCTTTTCAGGACTGCAGCTACATATGATTACAATGTTCCTATTACAAAAATACTTAAAACGTGAAGATAGCAAGTACAGTTCATTTAACTTTATCCAGATTGTGATCTTTTTCCAGTTTTATTTTTAAGTAGTCATTTTGTTATAAGTAGCAAACTTTTATTTGCTTGCTCATTTCTGGCAGCAAATTGATAAAAGTGATTGTTTCTCTTTCTTTCATGTTCATTCATTTATTCTTTCTCTTTCTTCTTCTTCTCCTTTTTCCCCTCTTCTCTTCCTTTTCTATTTCCACTCCCACTTCTGCTTGAAAACCAAAGAACTTAGAGCGTACTTCTTTTAAAATGGTCAGGCCAGCGAGGCCCTGAATTCCTGGCCACCTCTCTCTGCTGCCCTGGCACACTGCTTTCACTTTTCCACAAGTACTTACATCTGCACCTCAAATGAGCCTGAGGATACACAGATACTACATTTCTAGCTAACCATGTTTCAAGTTCTCCTTCAATTTCCATTTCCCTTTTCATATTTTCAGGGTGGGGATGACTCTCTGTGGTGTCTTACTGATGGCAGCTATTCCCACTTGGAACTGGACTAGATAGGGATTCTTGAAAGGTGTTCCTGCCAGAATCTGCCTTTTAGTTTGGCTGCTTAGACATGACCCAACACCTCACATTAGAGTTTTTTCTAAATTAGCAGTGGATACTTAAGTTTGTTGTGTCTTCACAGCTCATGGTAAATGAAGACAAGCAAAGATCACTGTCTAAAATCTCCTCCTATTCCAAATAAATATTTTAGAATTTGTACATTTGAGTTTTACTCAGTTATGTCTATCAGTTAGCTGTTCCAAGGCCTGGAGTTATAGCTTAGGTTTCTGAAGTTCTCACCTCGTGATTTATATGTTGATGTTAGTTGAGCCCTGTGGAAAGGATCTGCTACTGTTAAAAACACGCAATTCCTTCACCCAATCTCTGTTTTGTCTCAGTTCTGCTTTGTTCTCTTTGCAGGTTCTGGTTTCTTCATGCATTTTGACAGTAGATCTGTAAACGTGGGTGGCACCGCAGTGCTAGAAAGTAGAATACTGTACCCTAAACGTGGGTTTCAGTGCTTGGAATTTTATTTGTACAACAGTGGAAGTGAAAATGACCAACTAAACATCTATGTGAGGGAGTATGCTGTCAATGATACGAATGGTAAATTAACCCTTGTGGAAGAAATAAAAGGTAAAAGATCAACCTCTTTATTGTTTGGGTTCAAAGACAATCTCTTAATGCAGCAACTTAGAACAGGGCAGAGGCTGTCGATGGTTTTTCGAATAGAACTTGATGCTCTTTCTATATGAGGTCCTTTGTGTGCTATACTACGTGATACATAGCAACAGAAAGGTGACCAACTGAGTGAGTGAATGAGCCACAGCAGATAACTTATGAGTATCCTGTGTTCCATTTGTGAGTTCTCTGCCATTCTACACAAGCTAACATCCTAGTGAGTTCACTGCCCAGTGGCTAGAGCAATTGCTGAACAGGGAGTGGGAGGTCCTCCTTGTACCAATCAGGGAGGTGGCCCAACCTAGGAAAGCAGGTGGCTAGCAGGATTCCCTGGAGAAGAGAGGGATATGGGCTGATGTCCAGATGACTCTCTGCTCTGCATCTTGCCCTCTTGGTTTGATGGACTGAGCAAAATGTGTTATAAGACAGATTCACATTGTGCTATGGTATGCTATATCCCCTCTATTTAATGAGAAACAATCTGAAATGCAAATGCTATTTTTCTTTGTGAACACCTATGAACAGTCAAGTTCCTGGTCTCATTGCAGAATATGCACACATCATGCATAAATTTTTTTTTGAGACAGGGTTTCACGGTGTAGTTCAGGATAGCCTTGAACTCGCGTTGTGGCCCAGGCTGACTTCGAATTTGCGGTGATCTTCCTGCCTCAGCCTCTTGAGTGCTGGGATTACAGGCGTGAGCCGCCACATCTGGTCATGCATACATTTTATTGCTGAAGTTCTATAAAACATAATTATGTTTTGCAGATATGAAAAGCTTATAAAAAGTCCCCTGCATGTTATATAAATGTCATGATTGATTTAAATTAATAGCAATGTTAATTATTTATATAAAATTAAGTAGGCTTAGAAGAGCCTTCCCATTAGTGATCAATAGTTACATCATGGGTAGACAATAACACAAAGGCACCTGAGAGGCTTGCTTAGGACAACTTGAACTTGGTAATACTGAGAATAATGAAATAAAAGCTCTCATAGAAGGTTCTTGTTCAGTGTAGGGTGAACCCACAGGCAATAATATTTTTTTAAATTTTTATTTTAAAAAGGATAAAACCAAGGAAAATAAAACAATAGACTCAATCAAAATAAACCAGAATAAGTGACACAGGACTTTCAAAGCTTATGAAATTAACAATAGTTACCACAATGCCTTTGCTATCTTCAAAATAGCTGTGGATACTACCTTCGGACATATTTAAAACTCAACAGAACAGAATAGAATAGAAACAAGAAAAACAAAACAATGAATGAAGTAAAGGACTTCAAAACAAGCCAGTAGTAAAATAGCGGCTTCCATAACATGTCTTGCTCTTTCAGATAGCTGCTCCTGCCATCAGAGTTAACACAAATAAAACAAAAGAAAATAAACCCCAACCAACAAAACATGAAAATGATGTGGTTTCTGGACAGGAATCTCCTCCCTGTGGGGCCAGGTTCTCTCTCTCCAAAGCCCACAGATGGTGCTGACTATAGGGAGAGGCTTGGGTCTGGCTCTCTCCAAGCCGGCAGCCCATGCATGGTGCAGGTTTCTGGGCAGGGATCTCCTCCCATTGGGCCTAGTTCTCTCCCTCCACGGCAATAGCATTTTGTATAAATTAGATATTTCTGCCTTATTTTCAAGTAATTGTACCAGTTTAATGGTACTTTCTCATTATGTACTAATATGTTTAAGTGTTTAGTCTTTGTGTTAACTACTAGTTTGACATAAACTCCTTACCTGTTGTCTGCCTGGAGGCTTCCGAAGAGCTTTAATGTAGTACTTTATATTGAAGGAGGACACAAGGAATAATGCGAGGTGTCCTATTGTGTGCTGCCAGCAAAGGGTGTAGGACAGTGTGGAGGGACTGTTTAGAACTTTAAATGGTACAGGCAGCCCACTGTGGCACACATGCCATAGATTTTCCATCATTGATCCAGGAGAGTAAGTGAGGAAGTACAGGTTGGCAGAAAAGAGGTGACACCAAGTATCAAATAATTAGCGTTGAGTCACTAGTAAGTGATCTAAGCACTAACAGTAGAATGGGCATCTTCCAGGGTTTGGTTGTTTTCCGTTTAATACCTCCAAAGGCTGGCTGGAAATTGTGCAAATGAAGAAAGTCAGTCAGCTGTGGTGGTGCCCACTGGTAATCCCAGCACGTGGAACACTGAGCCAGACAGATTGCAGTGAGTTTGGGGCCAACCTGGACTACATAGTGAGTTCAAGGTCAGCCTGGACTACATAGTGAGACCCTGTCTAAAAAAAAAAAAAAAAAGTCAAACTATGGGCGTGTTATAGAACGGTTTGGCTGTAGTGAACTCATTAGGTTATTAACTTGTGTAGAATGGCAGAGAACTCACAAATGGAACACAGAATACTCATAAGTTACATGCTGTGGCTCGTTCACCTTTCTGTTGCTGGGACAAAACACCTGACACCGGTTACTTATTGGAGAAAAGGTTTATCTTGGCTCATGGGTTCGAAGGGTTCAGTCGATATTTGGCTGGCTCCAAGGCAGGAACATCACGGCAAAGGGCATGGTGGAAGAAAACTGTTCACCTCATGGCATCGGGGATGAAAAGTGAGAAGAGTGAGCCAGAGAGGAAGAGGCCAGGCACAGACCCAGGCTCTAAGGTCATTCTCCCCTGCTCCACCCAGACACACCCAGATGTGTGTTTTTCTAATCTCTTAGATGTCTCTCAAACTAATCAAGTTGATAATAAAGACTAGCTATCTCTGGGTGACCTGTCTGAGAAACAACTGTATAATTAGGTATTCCAGAGAACAGTTTGACCTTGAAGAAATACCTTGATGTACATGATCCTGAGCTGAAGAAGTAAGAAAACCATACCTCAGACCTGTAGGAGTCAGTAGCTCTGGGTTGATCATTTATCTATGGTGGTTGGAACTCTAAGGTTGGCTTGCACATGACATAATCCTTTGTCTTCTTTGAAATATTGACTCTTTTTGCAGAAATACCCATGGGGAGCTGGCAGCTCTACTACGTAGCGTTGCAAGTGACCAACAAATTTCGAGTGGTGTTTGAAGGACGTCGGGGAGCTGGTGCCTCATTGGGCGGTCTGTCTATTGATGACATCAATCTTTCAGAAACACGGTGCCCTCATCATATTTGGCATATAAGGAATTTCACACAGATCCTTGGCAGCCCAAATACAGCCCTCTATAGCCCTCCATTCTATTCTCCTAAAGGTTATGCTTTCCAGATTTACTTGGATCTACGATCTTTGACTAATGTAGGGATATATTTCCACTTGATCTCTGGAGCCAATGATGATCACTTAGAGTGGCCATGTCCTTGGCAACAAGCCACAATGACACTCCTGGATCAAAATCCTGACATTCGACAGCGTATGTCCAACCAACGGAGCCTCACGACAGACCCATTTATGACCAGTGGTTTGTGATTTATTTTCTTTAATGCTAACGTGTAGTCATTGTCTGTGGAGGGACAGATTTGGGAGGGAGAGGTTGCACAGATGGTTACCTAGGAAATTTTGAGTCTTGATTCTTAAGAATAGAGATATTTAGGGGCAAGCTTTCAATAATTGAGGAGAAGGTCTCTAAGGGGAGACAGTTAGAAATGTCATCAAAGACTGGAAAGTAGGGAAGTTAGTGGGTGTATTCCTGAGAATTGATAACCATCCCTGAATTTCCAGTGTTTTGCAAGGAGTGTTGGGTTTAGAGTCTGGCATACCTGGGCTCAAATCCAAGGTTTTCTTCTCGTCAGATATATGACCCTCAGAAAACAATCTCTTGGATTCTGCTGTCCTCCACGCAAAACCAGGGTAGGAACAATAATCCCACAGATTTGTTATGAGGATTAAAATGGAACAAGAATGGAAGTGTGTTGGAAGGTCCTGATAGGGACTGTCCCTCGGGTGCTGCATTCTCCTACCCATATGTTCCCTTGTCCTGCCGCTGGGATTCTCAGACAGAATTCAGCTCTTTGCTCAGAAGGAAGATGTTATACAGGTATACCAGAGTGTTAGCGGAGAGTGTAGAAATGGGTTATATCTTCTTATTAAAGTGCGCTGGAAGATTTATTAACGGCAATACCTTTCCAGTCTCAAAAGGAGCAGTGCCCAACAGGCAATAAGAGCATTCCTAATTTTAATAATCCTTTGTCTCTGGCAACCTAATAAATGAAAACATAAATTATGGCAAGCTATTATTGCCAAAGGGGAATTTTATAAATGAAAAAGATGGACCAAAGTGGCATAGCAAATAAAAGTGACATAATCTGATGAGAAAAACACATACAAAGGGAATTTTAGAGATTCAGAGTTTTTTCATTCTTTTTCAAAATTTCTGTCCCTCAGTAACCTTGAAAATGATTCAGGGTCAAAGTGGGTTGGTATGACTTTCCAGATGCGGTGTTTCTCTCAATCTTCCTTTCCTGGACGACTTTGCTCTGTTAGGTGACTAGTTCAGCCAATGAGATAAATTGTTCTATGCTAATGTTAAAAACTTCCTTTAGCAATGAGTCGTTTTGACTCTGTCTGTCATTCAGAAGGCCACTCAGACAGGATTCTAACAGAAAGAAGGGTGGGTATACTGGCTAATAAGTACAGGTAAGATATCCTCCCCCAGGGAATCTTTGATACCTCTTCACTCATAGTGTTAGTCCAGTCCTTCCTGCCAGGCAATCTCATTTCCTTTAGGACAGTATAAATGAGCAAGCTCCAGCGATTTGCCAGGGAATACATCACGGGTCAATAACATCATTTAATTATTTTGAGCTCTATCCTAATTGCGTTTCACATTGCCTGTTCTTTCCTACCACCAAAAGCTATGATGATGCTAAACACAATCCATTAATATAAATTGCTTTTTCAGATAATGGAAACTATTTTTGGGACAATCCTTCTAAAGTGGGAAAAGTGGCTTTTTTCCCTAATGGAACTCAGTTTAGCAGAGGTGAAGGTTATGGAACCAGTGCCTTTATAACTCAAGAGAGGATGAAAAGCAGAGACTTTTTAAAAGGAAATGATGTTTTTATCTTATTGACAGTGGAAGGTATGTAAATAAAAGTAGGCTTATATAAGTTAGATTTTTTTTATTTTTTTGGCTGTGGTCATTGATTATTTAGTGTTGTTTTGGGGTTTATTGCTAGATATATTATAGGATGTGGGAGGAAATGGATATGTGGAAGAGGTTTTTTTTTTTGGCACAAACCACTAACAATATGAAAATAATTTAACATGAAAAAGTGAAAGTTCTAGGATAAAAAAATTTAATCACTACCACGTGAAACAATAGTGGAAACCTTCAGGCTGGAAAATTTCAAGTATAACTAATATTCCCTAGGATTATACTCTTGGATTTCAGAAATAAAAATATGACACAAGCATGTAAAATTAAAATATAAATAGGCTGTCTCTTCATCTACATATATACACACATGCAAAACTGCAAATGTGTGTACACTCAAATATCTTGGCAGTAATAACGTCAGCCTGTTTTTTAATTTTTTAATTTCTTACTTGTGGCAACCAATATTTATTTTTGAGCAATTGTGTTGGTTTCCACGTTTTATGTGGTAGGATTTTAACTCATCTACCATTAAAGACCTACTTGCCTCTCAGTGAATCAGAAAGTGGTATTTAAAAAATAATACTTATCAAGAGAGAAAACATGATATGCAATTGAGAAAAAGTCATATTCATCAACTCTCTTTGGCCCACTTTGGATCAGAAGCAAGGCCAGCATAAAACAGTGGAGAGATTATGATTTCATCGTTAGAGCCCCCGGGATACGCCTTGAAACTCTGCCATCTTATTTCAGGCAGCAGGAGACCCATGACCTTGGGCAGGGTCCTTAACTGCTTTGCACTTTGAGCTGTAGTTTCCTTCCCCGTCTTTAGAGAGTTGTTGTTAAGGATCTGTGCCTTCCAGAGCTCCCCCAGCCCAGGCAAATACACAATTTAGTTGTAGCCCCAGCAGCAGGGCCCACCTTCCCTTGGCCTATTTGTTACTCCACTGCCTGTGACTGTCACTGGGCCAGGCATCAAGATTATGTCCTTTTCTCACAAGCTTGAAATCTAAACATCTTCTGTTCGAAACATGAAGGCCTAGTGACTTCTAAAGCAAAAGCTGATTTCTCTCCTGCTCCCCTCTCGCCCTCCTTAGACATATCTCACCTCAGTTCTACGTCACCTCAGCCAGCCCCAACCTCCACTGTCCTGGACCTTTGCTCAGGATTCACATGTGAAAATGGTGGCATCTGCATCATCCAAGATGACAAGCCTGAGTGCAGGTAATGGGTCACTCAGGGGAGCTCTCCCGGTTCTTCTGTTAGAGACTTTACTGGCAAATGTAGGCTTCACTGTCAGTAGTTCAGAGGAGGGAAATTGATCAGTTCTCCTCTGGGGGGCCACTCACAGAATATCTAATGGTTCTGTCATACTAGGAACTGAACACAGGGCTTTTGCATTGAGCTGCATCCCCCGGCGTGCTCATTTGAGACAAGGTCCTGTTAAGTTGCTCTGTTGCCTAGGCTAAGCTCAAACTTGTAATTTTTCTGCCTCAGTTTCTCAGAGTTCTGGGATTACAGGCAATCACCACTATGCCTGGCTAGAATTTATTTTTTTCACTCCATTTGGGACTTTGGATAGCTATTAAGGGCAATGAAGTAATTTATGAAAAATTAGATGTTATATTCTAATTGCCTGAGAAGTCCTTATGGGTAATGTATTTTGTTAAGTCTTTACAGCAGTCTCATCTTTTTAAGCATGACTATCTTTATTTTCTAAATGAAGATACCAAAATTCTGAGAAGATCTTGGCCAGGGTATAAAGGTGGAGAACTAAGCTGTATTTAGAATCTACGCCACCTCCCTTTGCTTCTCCAGATCTGCTGTCTTAGGCTCAGGTTAGGAATAATTCCTTTTTTCCTTTCCATGGCTTCTGCCTGGCCTCCTGGTGCTGGTCACCATCTCCTCCAGTCTGGGAGTGGGTAAGACAGTTGTATGGATCAGCGACTTATAGGTGATCAATTGACTAAAGGTGATCAGCAATTTTAATGGGCAAGATTCCCAGAGTTAAAAAATCAACATATAACTGAGTCTCATCCATACATATAGATGTCCCTCTGGGGAAGACTGGTGGTACATGGGAGAGAGGTGTGAGAATCGAGGCTCCAGGCAGGACACTGTTGTCATCGCTGTTTCTTCCACTGTGGCTGTGTTCGTCCTGATGCTGATTGTCACCCTCGTCAGTGTCTATTGTGTCAGGAGGAAATATCTTAAAGGGACAAGTTCCAAGACAGAAAATATGACTGTGGAAAATGTAAGTTGAATCTGTTATTTGGTTATTTAAAAGCTATTGATAAAGTCACATGGAAAAGAATTAACACATTTATAATACCATTTTTTTTTAACTTTTTGCTTCTCATGCTGGGGAAACTGATTTTAGACTATGAGTTCCTATTACCTTCAATCTAAAATAATGGTTCTGAACCTGGGGCTCATGGAGTCTCCTTGGGGGAGTTTGTTATCTTCCTAGAACTGTATCCAAAACTGAGTGTGGTTGTGCATGTTTTCTTGGGACGTGAGTGGCCTCTGACCCTCCTGAAAGGCACAACTGGTTTTGCCTGCAAGTTCCTTCCTTTCTGCTAAGCTGGAGAGCTGGTTCTAAGTGTCTTTGTTTTAAAGGTGTTATAGCAGTGGTAGAGCTCAGGCCTGCAGGAAGGGGGTGCAGGTGCATTTGGAGGGGGAGCTTTTCCATAAAGAAAGTTCCAGCTAATTCTGGCTTCCTACAAAGTAAATAATCTAAGGTAGATTTTTAAAGTTTTGCCTCAGGTAATCTCTAAAATGGCAGTAAACTCTTGAGACTTCCCTGTTTGAGGCAGGTTGCTGGGCAGTAGCTTCCGAGGTGGATACATGGGCACCATGATTCACTGGGAATAGTGCTCCTGGACTGGGTGGGCCAGGCTGGGCTCTGTAACCTGCCCTGGCCCAAGGAATGGGAACTTTTGTACTCACCACATCTACAGTGGAGGGGCATAAAATTGGGCAAGGTCACAGCCTCTGAGGAAGGGCATTTCTTGTCTGAGAGCCTTCAGTTTTGAAGGGTAGGACTCGAGCAATGTGCCCTGGTCTCGAGCAGGTATACAGCCCTCGTGAGTACAGATTGCACAGGCAGACTCATCTTCCCACCAAAGAGCACAAAGAAAATGGCATAAAATCTCAACATTACTTAAAAGTGAAGTTTAAACATTCCTCCAGTTCTGTTTCATTCAAATCACATAATTACTACTGAAACCAGTGAGAAAAAGCACATTCTATTAGAATATTCTGAAGATAAGATGCCACCTTAGCTAAAGCAAGGGTCTCACCATGCAGTTCAGGCTGGCCTTGAACTCACTTTGTAGCCCAGGCTGGTCTCAAACTTGCAATGATCCTCTTGCTGAGGTCTCCCAAATTCTGGGATTACAGGCATGAGCCACTATGCCCGGCTTCAAAAATATATTTTCTTGAGAAAAATTATTATTCAAGGCATACCATCATACTGCCTCTCATTTTGGTATTTTAAGTTTAGAATGTTTGTTTTTTACAAAGCAATAGAAAGATGGACAGATGGTTACTGAAGAGAAAGCAAGTGATTCTATTCTCATTTACTCTTGTCCTATTTCTCTAGCATCAGGAGAGATGTTGTCTAAAGCTAATCATGAGGTAACAGAGCAATTAATCCACAGACTTATTAGAAAAGTACTTAAAATATATGCAGGTAGTTTTGCTTTTAAACAGCTGTCTCCAGCTTTTTTTTATGGTCAGAAGGGACAGATGAGCCAGTGCAGGACCTGGTAGTCACTCTGTCACAACGAAGATGGCAGGAGGGTTGGCGGGGGACCAGTGAGCTGGGTGGAAGGGACAGCCAGAGGAACCTGGAAAAGTTACAGCTATTGTAAGGATGCCGACTTAATTGGTGAATATTGGCAAAAATTAAAAAGTGATTAGAAACGAAAGAGAAAGAAGGGTGAGTCAATAGAGTGAGCAAACGATCAGGTAACGAGTATAATAGGAATATTAAGTGGCAGCAAGCGTGTGCACACACGCACACACACACGCACATGCACACACTATCAATATTAGATCTATTTTATCTCTGGGTCATTTAAACACACACCCAAGGACAGGCAATCGATTGGCGTTTTTCCTTAGTCTTGGCATTTCTCCAGTTCATTGGCTGATAACAGATCTTCTAGATCTAGTTTAGATCTTCAGTCAGAACGACCTTCTTTCAGAGGCCAGCACTGCTCCCCCACCATTTTAGCACCCAGAAGGGCCAGGGCTGCTTCTCTGAGACTGCTGGGAGTGTTGCCAGCAAACCACTGATGGGCACTTCATTGAAAAATTAGACCCTTTTATTGTGATTCATTTAGATGACAGGTTTTAAATTTAGAAATTAAGTCATCAATTGTTCTTTCCCCTTTTAGCAATGTGCTTTTTGAAGATGAAGTCAACAGTGTGGCCAGCAAGTAAAATGAAAAAGGATTCTTCATCATGGGATTTCACCTGAACTGTGTTACGACCGCCTCATGCTTCTGGAAATGGATCTTCTCTATAAATAACTGAATGTACTGTGCAACGTTATTGTGGTAAAAGTCAAGCTGGGAAAATCTCTCTGTCTCCACCCTCCTACCCCCACCCCCGTCTCTCAGAGGAACCCATTCAGGCTCCTCTGGAAGTACAGCACTGTCAGTAAAAGGGAGAGCGACAATTGGAGACCACTGTCCCAATTTCTGAGCCTTCTCTTTGGGGCCAGGGGCAGAGGCCTCACAAAGGCCTCCCCAGGTGGACTTCCGAGCAGCATCTCAGCAGTTTCTTGCTGTCCTGTCCTGAGGGAGGGAAGGGGAGAGGACACCTGCCAGTCCTGCGCCATGCCTCTCTGTAACCTGCATCGTCCTGTTTTCTCATCTAACCCTGAGGGTAGAGCACTTGATTTGCATCTGTTGGAGAGCCTTACTGTAGGCAAAACTTTCTGCTCCTCCAGCTGCAGTTCTCAAAGTTTCGGTGTCAGGAGACTTTGTACTTTAAAAAATGAGCAGGAACCCCAAAGCGCTTTTGCTTATGAGAAGTATTGCTTATTAATTGGTATTTGCCTTATTAGAAATTCAAATTAGCAAATTTTAAAGCTACATATTTTTAATCATTAAAAAGAATAAGCTTACTACATATTACCACACATTTTCTATTTAAAAATGACTATCTTCACCAAACTAAAGAAAACTTAATAAAAAGATAAGCAGTGACTTACATTTTTGGGCACATCGCTAAGCTCTGATTTAATAGAAAACAGCTGGCTTGTCATGCGTGGTTCTGCACCCAGCCTGGGGTGGTCTGCTATTCTGGTTGAAGGATGTGAAGAAACCTAGCCTGGCACGGATAGATAGTTCAGAAGGGAAGCAGAGCTGAATAAGAAACTCACATTCAAGGAAAGTAGGAATTCATCCTAATACTTTGTTATAGGGTGAAAAATAGTAATTTCTTAAAGGTTAGTTGCAATTGCAATCTGAACTCTTATCAACAAACTTTTATACTCTATTCAGTAATTTGTACTAGTCTATTTTTTGGTTTGTTTGTATTTGGGACAATATATATAGTTTTTTCTTTGAGACAGAGTCTCACTAACTTGCCCAAGCTGACATGGAACTTGCTATCCTCCTGCCTCATCCTCAATCATGTAAAAATGTTTTATTATCCAGACATGGTTGTGGGACATCTATAATCCCAGCACTCTAAGAAGCTGAGGCAGAAGGATCACAAGCTCCAACCCAGCCAGAGCAATTCAGTGACTTAGTGATCCTGTTCCAAAATAAAAAGTAGAAAGATCTGGGATGTGGCTCAGGGTAAAGGCCTTGAGTTCAATCCCTCGTACTGCAAAAGCAAACAAAACCAAAATGGAACAAACAAGCAAGCCTCCCCACCCTTTTCTAGTAATAGAATTACACTCCATGAAACCTTTTGCAATTGTTTCTTTCTTCCAAGACTTTGCATAATTCTTTGTAGATTCATCCAGGCTATCGTGTGTTTACTTATGTTCCTTTTTACTAGTGAGTATAGTAGTAACCCACAGTACAGGTTTACCACAGTCTGTTTAATTATTATTTTGTTGAAGGACATCCGGATAGTTTCCAATTTTGGGCTCTTGCAAATAGAGCTGCTATAGATGTTTTTGTACAGATTGTTGTGTACATATTAATCTTCATTTCTGTGGATTACATGCCCAGAAGAGCTATTGCTGGGTCATAGGATAGTTACATGCTTGGTTTGTAAAGCAACTGCCCACATGATTTGCTCTGTGACTACAGCATTCCACATTCATACTGATAATAATACCTGAACGATCCGGTCTGTTTGCCTCCTTGACAGCTTTTGGTGTTCTCATTATTTTCTTTTTTGTATTTTTGAGACAGGGTCTCTATGCAGTTCAGGCTGGCCTTGAGCTCACTTTGTAGTCCAAGCTGGTCTCGAACTCGCAACGATCCTCCTGCCTCAGCCTCCCGAGTGGTGAGATTACAGGCCTGAGCCACCACAGCCGGCTCTGTTGTCATTATTTTCATAATAGACTTTATTTTCTAGGGTAGTTTTAGATCATAACAAAATTGAGCAGAGATATACAGATTTTTTTTTCTTTATGCTGTTAGTACTGTGGGTTACATTGATTCTGAATTCTAAACACACCGTATATCCCTGTAATACACTGCACTTGATCATGGTATGTGATTTTCTTCATATGCTGAATTTGATTTGCTTATATTTTGTTAAAGAGTTGTTGTATTCGTATCTCTCAGGGATGTTGGTCTATAGTTTGCTGTCGTTGTGTGTCTTGGTTTTGGCACCATCCATGCCTGGCTTTTGTATCTGGGTACTATTAGCTTCATGAAATGAATCGAGATATGTTCATTCCCTTTGTGTTATCTTTTTTTTAATTTTTAAAAAATTTTATTTTAAAGAGAATAAAATCAAACAAAATAAAACAGAATAAAGCCACTCAGAATAAAACAGTGAAAGTGATACAGGACTTCAAAAGAGGGTAATAGAAAATCAACAATGGCTTTCATCATGCCTCCTGCTATCTTCAAAACTGTAGCCCATACCATCAGATATAATAAAATCAAACAAAACGAAACAGAATGGAATCAGTAAAACAAAACACTAAATAAAACAATAAAACAGAACAAAACAGTGAGAACAATGTTGATTTAAAAAATATGATAATCTCCATATTTGCTATAATGCATATTGTTATCTTCTTAATAGAGGCTCATACTACCAGCTCTAGGCCTGCAAAGTCAATCAGACAGTACAAGCATTATGTTATTTTTGTGCTTCAGTTGCTAAAATGTGGGGCAAGGGGACGGTGTTCTTATCTTCCAGCCTGTGTGTAGTTGGCTCACAGGAAGGGTGAACTGGCTTCTTGTTTTACTCCCAGGACCTGCATGGCTTCTTTTTAAAAAATTTTTAAATTTTTTATCCCTTTGTGTTTTCTTGAAAGCTTGTGCAGAACTGGTGTAATTTTTTAGAAATTTAGTAGAATACCTAGTGAAGCCACTTACCTGAAATTTCTGTTTGGGAAGTTTTTAAAATTATAAATTCAATACTAGTCAATAGTTATAGGACCAGTAAAATTATCTATTTTGTATTTCATGAATGTTTGTTTTTTTGAACTGTTGGTTGATTTTCTCTAAGTTGTCAAATTTATGTTATTTGTGGTGGTTTATAGTGTTTTGGGTATATATCTGGGAACAGAAACGCTGGGTCATATATGAACTCTATATCTAACTTTTCAGGAAATGTCAAACTGTATTTCACAGAGGCCACACCATCTTACATTCCCTCCAGAAATACACAACAATTCCTATTTCTGGTTTTTTTTTTTTCTTTTTTGGTCTTTTTCCTTTTTATCGGTACCGGGGATTGAACTCATGACTGCCTGCTTGCAAGGTAGGCGCTTATGCCGCTGAGCTAAATCCCCAGCCCCAACAATTCCTATTTCTACATAGCCTTGCTGATAGTAGTTGCTTTCCATTTCAAAAAGAAAAAAATAGGACCATCTTAGTTGATGTGAAGTGGTATCTCATCTTGAGCTCAACATTTCTTTTAAACTGTAAATTCACAGTGTAAAAGACAGATAGCAATTTAATATGAAAATACAGTATTTACAATCTCAGCAATCCTGTGAATAAATCACACAAATCACAGGGTCTGGAGGCCACCCTTTAACAGTTCCTCTGGCTGAACTCTTTGCAAGCTGAACTAGTAAACTTTTCCCAGTTAGCAACATTTCCGATTATTTTCCATGGCTACTTCCTTTCCTAAGGATAAAATTTAGGACAGTGGTTAAGACAATGAGGTTTTATGTTAGATGAACCTGGGCTTGAATCCTGGTTCAATAATTTTTAAAATATCTCTTAATTTCTTCAACTATGAAACAGGACACATAATTGGTATACCATGAAATTATTATGAAACTAAATACAGCAAGTATAAAGTCTTTGATACATTGCAGGACCTCAATGAATAGTAGCTATTTATTTATTTTGGTACCGGGAATCAAACTCAGGACTTTGCACTTGCCAGGGAGGCACTTATGCTGCTGAGCTGTATCTCTGGCCCATTCATAGGTAGCTTTAAAAGTGTAACATAATTTTACTTTCCCCTTGTCCCAGGCAAACCTAGCAGCGTGGTCACCCTAATGGAAGGAAGTTGTATGAAGTCATTTTGACAACAGAACCAAAACTGTTTACAAGTACAGACAGTGAAGCCAAATGGCTTGGCTTCAAGTCCCAGCCAGGTGCCCACGAGTTTTGTCAACTCGGAGAAATTTCTTAACCTCTCTAAGCCTTAATTTCCTCACCTCTATAGCACTTAGTAAAAACACTTACCTTCCAGTGGTGTTTTTAAAGCACATATTATATGTAAGTACTGAGAACAGTGCCTGGCCATCATAAGCACTATGTAAGTAAGCGTCATTAGAAGAGAAAATATAAAGGGCTGCTAGAAAGGGGAGGTATGGAAGGAGGAGGAGGACTCTTAGATGAAAACAGCTTATTTTCATGAACTGGAGGAGGGAGAAGAGAAGGGATGAGATAAAGGTAATTTTTAAGTGGGGTCTGGTTAGCAAAAACAATCACGTATGTATTTTTCCTCAACAATACGTGGTTTCAGTGGTTTGCAATGAAAATCCTGATAAGAAAACTGAAACTCTTCGAAGGTTGACATCCTCATCATTTTTTATGTGGAATCATGACCATTTGTGCCATGAGCCCTGCTCCTCTCTCATAGCGAGGTTCTTGGATGATTAACGCGAGCAGGATGAGTTTCTAAATTGAAAGTATAATATGTCTTCACATCTATCAGGGTGTATATTTTTCTACCATACTTTGAAGGCCCTTTTTGGCATATGCTGCCTAAAGCTACAATGCTGCAAGATGTTCATCAATAGCCATGTATACAGATGATCTGTAAATTCTTTGGCAATTAGATAGCAGATTATTGGTTCTTTTATCTTGGCAGATGGTTTTGTCATCAAACCTTGGACAGTTTTTTTCATTTTGGAATTTGTTTTGTTTTGTTTTGTTTTGAGACAGGGTCTTGCTTTGTAGTTCAGAATGTGCAATTGTCTCGTGTGAAGACTGCCTTGGATGTGACAGTTGAAACAAAGATTATTTTTGTTGTGAAGTTCTTGGCATTTTCATGGTAGTGCATGTGGGAACTTATTTTCTGATGTTATCTTTTACATAGCTAATGTGAAATGTTGATGTTTACTCTTAATGTTCTATGCATGTTAAGAATTTAATGACTTTGTTTTATTGATATTTTATGTTCCTGTTAACTACACATAGCATAATATAAAAGAACCTCCTGACAAAACAAGATCAGCAAGATGTCGATTATGTACTAAAAAAAGACCAGGAAAGCAAAACACACATGCTGCCAGTGTGACAGTATGTATTGATATTTTTGTTGTAGCTCATATAGGAATTTATTTCTGTTGTCATTTTTAGACTTTGTGCATCAAAAACAGTTGATATTGAAGATTTTGATGCTTGTTTATATTCGATAAATATTAGAAACTCAATACTTTATTTTTTAATATTTTTTCATGTTAAGTAATCATTTTTTAATAAAATAAAGCTCATAAAATTAACAATTTATCAGTAGAAATATTCCAAAAAATAATTATGGGTATTATACTTCCACCACAATGTTCATTTAACACAAAATTGATGTCAGGCCCCAGTGGGTATGGAAGATGTTCTCCAGTACGAGGGAGCTACCTGCTTCCCTAGGCATGGAATTCAAGAGTTTCAGCAACTTCTGAAAGCAGAGAGGAGGAGCCCTCCATGGAATGCTGTGACCTTGCTGACTGAGGGAACTGGCTTAGTAATATGCAGACTGTTGTCATTCTCGTGTCCTGTGACTCCATGCCACCTGGTAGAAGCTGTCCCACTATACTTGCAAGAATTGTGGTTTTAAGTTTGTGATGCTATTTGTTTCACGACAGGCTGACTAGGGACAAAGTATTTATGGAAAGTAGCTAAAGTGGTGGTGCCCTGTAGTTATAATCAGAGTTAAAGACGTCTAGCAATTTAAAAAAATGAGATTTTTTAGGAATTTTATTTAAAAAGTTTTTATATTGTATTTTAAAGAGAATAAAATCAAACAAAGCAAAACAGTGAAAGTGACACAGGTTTTCAAAACAGGATAATAGGTAATCAACAATGCTTACCATAATGCCTCTTATCTGCAAAATTGTTGCCTGTACCTTCAGACATAGTAAAAATCAAAACAGAATAGAACCAATCAATACAAAGCACTGAATAAAACAAAATAATAAAACAAAACAGTGAGAACAATATTGTATTTCAAAAAAAAAGACAGAAGGAAATTTCCCAAAGTCACCACACTGTATATCACTGTCCTCCACATAGATGCCCAAACCACTGAACCCAGCTCTGCAAAGTCAACCAAACAAGATAACCATCAAGTTGTTTTTATATTTCGGTTACTGTTAGCTTAGTCTGTGTTACTACAAAACAGCCAGCCATCCCAGCAGGAGGGTGTTTCTTATCTGTCAGATTGCAGGACAGCTGGCCCATGGGAAGGACAAACTGGCAGTCTTTTCTCCTCCCAGGGCCTGCATGGCTGCTGCTGCTCACAGGGAGGGCAAATTGGCTTCTTGTTTCTCCTCCTGGGTCCCGCATGGCTGCCATTGGCTCACAGGAGGGGTGAACTGTTTCTCCTCCTGGGTAAGAATTTTTTTTTTTTTTAATGTACTGGGGCTTGAACTCATGACCTCGTGATTGCCAGGCAGGTGCTTATGCCACTGAGCTAAATCCTCGACTTGGGTGAGGGATTTTAAATGTGAAGTGTTTCACATTATTTAAAATTTTACATAGATACTTTATAAATACATTTAATAGTGTGCTATTTCAGTCAAAACATTCAACATAAAAAAAAGAAAAAACTGTTCTGTGAGCCTTTGAAGCTGGAAATTGACTACCTGTGCATGGCCAGGACATGACTGTGCCAAAACAAAAAGCACCTGGGGCATGCCACCTGAAGTTGCTACAGGGCAGGGAAACACTAAGCTCTTAGATAATCCAAGCAATGAGTTGCTATGCAGTGGGGTTGAAATTGACATCATCCTTCCCAGTAGGTAAATAAAAATGCTACATTTGTTGCGGCAGTTCCTTTTCTCCCATGGGAGGATAAGGGCTCCACCTGACCCCAGCTTTGTCTTCTTTATTTTCTCATCCTCTGGCAGTTCTTCACCCCAAGAACTTCAAAGGCCACATGGGTCAGTGCAAAATTGGTCACTATTTGCACAGGATTTAATCAGACCACATTTCACAGGCAAAAAATCACCTATAAGGCACTTATGGGAGGGCATATGCTATTTTTTTTAACTATTCTAGTTCTTGAATTGTACCCCCAGAACAAACAAAGGGAGATGATCCTAGTTAGTGTGATGGGCAGTGCCTAGTTCTAGTGTTTTGTACCAGTGGACAGAGTTAATCTACTTTGTTCATTATTAGGGAGAGATTGAACATTGTTTAACCTAATGATTCACCATGACCTTTAGGTTCCTGCATTTCATCACTGATGTCACTCAGGGATTGGGCAGGACAGGGCTCCCTGCAGGTTATC